AGTAAATTCAGTAAAGTACGATTCTTCAAAACGGGTTCTTCAATTTTTCCAATCTTGGTATGTACATAGTTCAATGTCCTCTGTAAAACCGCATTTGCATAGTTATAGGCTTTGAAATAAATCATTGGCGATTTCTTGTATGATTTTAACACAATACTCATATTTCAAAAAATTTCCACATAATTACATTTATCGTTGAATACCTTAACCAGAGCGAACCCCCGGGGTGACGTCACCTAGAGTTACGTCATCCTGAGATGAGCTACGCTGATTTCATTATTCTGGTTGGGAGATTGACTTATTACTCTGTTAGACGTTACAGAGTAGTTATAGGTTGGCTTTTTCGGTTCGTATCGAGATAAAAGATGCCTAATTTACAGTTGGAATTGGATAAACTTAAATGGGACACAGAGTCCCTTGTTTTGGCACGGTTGTTGGATAAACACACCCTCCCAAAGATCGTGAGAGTTACCGAGGGATTTTATGGCGAATCAGATGATTCAACACTCTGCAATGGTACAATATTATGCTTGCATTCCGTCCAATCTGGAGAGATGGTTCATGGTCGCTTAAATTGGGGCAAAGGGAAAGATATTTTGATTCCCCTCGACTGTCGAACCAAAGTCGAAATTCGCCCAACGAATTTAAAAGATGTTTATGAAAGCGTAGAAGAGCTTTGTTCAGTGTCTCCAAAATACGTTCGTGTCTCACAAGGTAAGTAGCAAACTTAAAGATTTAGGTCAGGAATGTGGACAACGACGGCTGACAACAAACCACTATAAAATGGGGTCATTCAATTCATACAGAACTTCCCTAAACGTAATAGATTTTCTGAGTTCACTAAATTCAAACTGTGTTGAATTGATAGGACTAATTCGCAATCTTTCATATGAAGTTGTTTATTTTGGCCGTCTATGTTGACATTTCCGTCTTCAACCGTAAGTTTCCTAACCAACTTGAAATTGTTGCAGTTTGCAGAAATTACTAAAGATTCCAAAAAGGAATGCAATACACTCCCTTGTTAAAGCCTTCAGATCAAAACTTCGAAACGTTTTCGCTGCTGGCCTTCACTTTGGTAACTTTGGAATGCAATAACAAGTTTCGATTCGTAAAATCACGTTGATAGAATACGGATTCTCCCGCGCTGATCTTTTGAAAGCAGATTAAATTTTAAGCCATATGAAAACACAATCTGCAAACATGAACTACATAATGTGATGGCGGTACTCTGAATTACCACTCCGGAGAAGCTAAAAAAATTAGCTTGATCTTACGGCGGAAAGCTAACTCGCGACCTTTGTTTTGCAAGTTTATATGCACTACCACTATGAACTGCGTATCTTAACAAGATATGTGAGAACTTCGGTTGAATTAGAGTCGCAAAAAATTGACAATGGAACGAAAGTATTTAATTCAGTTTACTAATATGCTTGACCGCTTGTCAAAACACGAAACCGAACAAGAAAATTCAGTATTTCGTTTGGGGGCTTAAAATTCGCCTCTTCTCGTGAATGAATACGCTATTTCGAGTTTATTAGCTTCTGGGATATATGCCTCAAGTGTTTAAAAATATAACATTCAACAAGTGAAATATTTTCATTATTTGGCTTTACCAAACATTATGAATACATTAATGCCAGACGAAATATTTTACTAGGATATTCATGAATTTAAAACTGCGTAGAAATCATTCAGAATTTTTTAGAGTTGCGCGGTATTTCTAATTCATTTGCATGAAAAGTTTTCGTTATTTTATTTCAAGGTTGTTATTCTGAGCCATCAGGGGACGTTTTATTGGAAGTCGGGGATAAATTGCAGTTAAAAGGCGTTAACAAAAAGCAAGACACATTAATCTGTTTCGACCAACATCGTCAGAAGATCGAGTTACCAAAAGACACCGTGGCTGGTTTTCAACCTCTGACCGATGGAAAAGAGTACTACTTATCAGATGTTGTAAAGAAATTTAAAATGCCATTGAATGTCCAATTCGTCAGATGTATCGGTGAAGATCTCCGGTCCGCTATCGAGTCCCCCTGCCAACCCTATCAAGCTGTTTGTCTTGATAAAGTCTCTAATGAGACTGTGGTTACAGCAACGTCCATACGTGCTAATGGTAAACACAATCTGATTCAATTCTCCCGTGATTTGAACGTAGGATTGAGTGTTTGTGAAGAGACGTTTACAGCCAGCGAAAATTTTCCTAATCTTTCTAAAATCTTTAACAAAGGCAGGGAAGAAACTGAGACAAACGCCTACGAGTACATTGATCCTGCTACGATCATGGAAATCAGACCAACAAAGGCCGCCAAACCGGCCCCTAACCCACCCCCCAAAAGACCAAAACCAACTATCCCCCTGCCGAAACCAAAGACTCAAAAAAAGACTACCGTCCACACGGAACCAGATCCCATTTATGAAGAGATTAGAAGCGAAGATAAACACAGCGAATTCCAAGGTGCTGGGAATGATTCAACATATACAGCACTTGATCCAACGTACGTTTCCAACCAAAAATATGGAGAACTTATCGTCGTCCAAAAGCTCGCGCCGAGCACGAATAACCAGCCTGAAATACTTGCCCACCCGAAAATGGCTGACGGTGCAACTGCATTACTTATCAGACTTCCACCGTCTTCAGAAGTCGAAGGTCCTCCGCCTCTAATACCCAGAAGATCTCAAGGTGATCTGAAGATCAAAAAAGATCATCAAATCGAGTGTTTTTCTGTCTCCCCTGATGCTCCCCACGGACCAAAGAGTCCGCATTTATCACTCAATAACCTAGCAGATCCACATATTTCACTCCAGACCACTGGCAAGTCAGTGGCTAGTCAAGAGCCCGCTGTTACGACTGAACAAGAAAAAGAGGAAATTTACGAAGCAATCGCAAAGTATCCATTAGATCTGTCTGGTTTAAATGTGGAAGCTGTTGGCAAGTTGTTGGTATGCTTGCAAATGGAGAAATATGTTGAAATTTTCAAGGAAGAAATGATTGACGGACGAATGTTGTCTGATATGGATAAAGAAAGTTTGCAGTCATTGAATGTAAGTCCATTTCATGTCAAAAAGTTGTTGAACTTCATCGGTGGATGGCGACCTAAACTACATGTGAGATCTTCCAAATGCTGATGCTTTTTAAAATGTCATAAAGTAGTAATAGGTCTGGAAAATTAGATCAACCGTCGAAAGAATAAGTGCCCTTGTTGGGAACAAGTAGGAACTTAACAATTAAAGTTCAACCAGCGTTTTGTTTCATTGAATTTATATTGCATTCTCATATTGCATTCTTCTTGAATTATATCACTGACATTTACAGTGTACGAGATGAGAGTAAACTCAGTGAAGTGTTCAAAACGAGTTCTTCAATTTTTCAAATAACTCTTGGTAGGTACATATATAGTACCAAGTCCGTTGTCCTCTGTAAAACTGACATTTTCGTAGTCCATAGATTGGATTAACAGGCAATTTCAGTGTTTGTCAGAGATTAAACCTGGAGTACTTCAAGCGCATGTAGCATGTGTTCAGCTTCATATGATTCAGTATTTCATAAAATTAGCTGTCTGCTCAGCTGACGGTTAAATCTATTTAAATTCGCGACGTCGTAGAAATTCTCATTATACAAGAAAGTATATTGTGATGTTTGAAAATGTGCTTTGCGGACAAAAATTGTTGCAACTTGGAATACAAAGAATTTAATTTCGGGTTCAGCTAAATGAAGGAAACTTTGCACTTACTATCAATTTACCTAGTCTATTCGTCAGGCGCTGTTGCATATAGTAATCACCTTAACAGACAAGCCTTTGTGTATTGCTTCCTCTACGAAATTCGTTTTTGATTAGGTTCGGAATGCCTACAACAAATGGGTTTTTTTACTTCGGGAGAAATTGCAATTTGTGGAGAATTTTTATTTATGCACGGATGTGAAATATTAAAGATAACTACATAAATATTAACTACATATTAAAGATCTTTTAGGATTAGTTTTGACATGCATAGTTATGTTAGTACATAGTTCAATGTCCTCTGTAAAACTGACATTTGCTTAGTTATAGGGCTTTGAAATAAATCATTGGCACTTTCTTGTATGATTTTAACACATTACTCATATTTCAAAAAATTTCCACATAATTACATTTATCGTTGAATACCTTACCCAGAGCGAGCCCCTGGGGTGACGTCACCTAGAGTTACGTCATCCTGAGATGAGCTACGCTGATTTCATTATTCTGATTGGGAGATTGACTTATTACTCTGTTAGACGTTACAGAGTAGTTATAGGTTGGCTTTTTCGGTTTGTATCGAGATAAAAGATGCCTAACTTACAGTTGGAATTGGATAAACTTAAATGGGACACAGAGTCCCTTGTTTTGGCACAGTTGTTGGATAAACACACCCTCCCAAAGATCGTGAGAGTTACCGAGGGATTGTATGGCGAATCAGATGATTCAACACTCTGCAATGGTACAATATTATGCTTGCATTTCGTCCAATCTGGTGAGATGGTTCATGGTCGTTTGAATTGGGGCAAAGGGAAAGATATTTTGATTCCCCTCCATTGTCGAACCAAAGTCGAAATCCGTCCATCGAATTTGAAAGATGTTTATGAAAGCGTCGAAGAGCTTTGTTCAGCGTCGCAAAAATGCGTTCCTGTCTCACAAGGTAAATAGCAAACTTAAAGATTTAGGTCAGCAATGTGGACGACGACGGCTGATAAAAAAAACCAGTATAAAACAGGGTCATTCAATTCATACAGAACTTCCCAAAACGTTATAGATTTCCTGAGTTCACTAAGTCCAAACAGTGTTGAATTGATAAGACTAATTCACAATGTTTATTTTGGCCATCTATGTCAACATTGCCATCTTCAACCGTACGTTTCCTATAATAACTTATTTATTGCAGTTACGAGAAATTACTAAAGATTCAATAAAGTGAGGCAATTCTGGCTAGAGCCTTTAGGTCGAAACTTCGAGACGTTTTCGCTGCTACACAGTCAATGACTTTGGTACCTTTGGAATGCAATAACAAGTATATAGAGATTCGTGGAGTCCAACTAATTCTCTCTACCTAACTAACTTGAAATTGATGCAGTTTGGAGAAATTACTAAAGATTTAAAAAAGGAGCGCAATACACTCGCTTGTTAAAGCCTTCAGATCGAAACTTCGAAACGTTTTTGCTGCTGGCCTTCACTTTGATAACTTTGGAATGCGTAACTAACGTTGATCTTTTGAAAGCAGATTAAATTTTAAGCCTTATGAAAATACAATCTGCAAACATGAACTATATACATAATGGGATGGCGCTACTTTGAATTACCACTCCTGACAAGCTGAAAAAATTAGCTTGATCATACGGTGGTAAGCGAACCCGCGACCTTTGTTTTGCAAGTTTATACGCACTACCACTATGAACTGCGTATCTTACAAGATATGTGAAAACTTCGGTTGAATTAGAGTCGCAAAAAACTGACAATGGAACGAACGTATTTAATTCAGTTTACTAATATGCCTGACCGCTTGTCAAAACACGAAACACGACACCGAACCAGAAAATTGTTTCGCTGGGTTTGGGGGCTTAAAATTCGCCTCTTAATTCCCGTGAATACGCTATTTCGAGTTTATTCGCTTCTGCGATATATGCCTCAAGTGTTTAAAAATACAACATTCAACCAGTGAAATATTTTCATTATTTGGCTTTACCAAACATTATGAATACACTAATGCCAGACGAAATATTTTACTAGGATATCCATGAATTTAAAACTGCGTAGAAATCATTCAGAATTTTTAAGAGTTGCGTGGTATTTCTGATTCATTTGCATTAAAGTTTTCGTTATTTTATTTCAAGGTTGTTATTCTGAGCCTCCAGGAGACGTTTTATTGGAAGTCGGGGATAAATTGCACTTGAAAGGCGTTAACAAAAAGCAAGATACATTAATCTGTTTCGATCGACATCGTCAGAAGATCGAGTTACCAAAAAACACCGTGGCTGGTGTGCAACCTCTGACCGATGGAAAAGAATATAACATATCAGATGTTGTAAAAAAATTCAAGCCGCCATTGAACGTTCAATTCGTCACGGGTATTGGTGAAAATCTCCGGTCGGCTATCGAGTCCCCCCGCCAACCCTGTCAAGTTGTTTGTCTTTATAAAATGTCTAAAATGACTGTGGTTACAGCAACGTCCATACGTGCTGATGGTAAACACAATCTAATTCAATTCTCCCGTGATTTGAAAGTAGAATTGAGTGTTTGTGAAGAGACGTTTACAACTAGCGAAGATTTCCCTAAACTTTCTAAAATCTTTAACCAAAGCAGGGAAAAAACTGAGACAAACGCCTACGAATACATTGATCCTGTTACGATCATAGGAATCAGACCAACAAAGTCCGCCAAACCGGCCCCTAACCCACCTCTCAATAGGCCAAAACCAACTATCCCCCCGCCGAAACCAAAGACTCAAAAAAAGACTACCGTCCACACGGACCCAGATCCTATTTATGTAGAGATTAGAAGCGAAGATAAACACAGCGAATTCCAAGGTGCTGGGAATGATTCAACATATACAGCACTTGATCCAACGTACGTTTCCAACCAAAAATACGGAGAACTTATCGTCGTCCAAAAGCTCGAGCCGAGCACGAATAACCAACCTGAGATACTTGCCCACCCGAAAATGGCTGACGGTGCAACTGCATTACTTACCAGACTTCCACCGCCTTCAGAAGTCGAAGGTCCTCCGCCTCCATTACCCAGAAGATCTCAAGGTGATCTGAAGGTCAAGAAAGATCACGAGACCGAATGTGCAGTTGCTGTTTCCCCTGATGCTCCCCACGGACCACAGAGTCCGCATTTATCCCTCAATAACCTAGCTGATCCACATATTTCACTCCAGACCAGTGACAAATCAGTGGCTAGTCAAGAGCCCGCTGTTACGTCTGAACAAGAAAAAGAAGAAATTTGCGAAGCAATCGCAAAGTATCCATTAAATCTGTCTGGTTTAAATGTGGAAGCTGTTGGCAAGTTGTTGGTATGCTTGCAAATGGAGAAATATGTTGAAATTTTCAAGAAAGAAATGATTGACGGACGAATGTTGTCTGATATAGACAAGGAAAGTTTGCAGTCATTGGATGTAAGTCCATTTCATGTCAAAAAGCTGTTAAGTTTCATCGGTGGATGGCGACCTAAACTACATGTGGAATCTTCCAAATTCTGATGCATTTTAAAAGGTCATAAAGTAGTAATAGGTCTGGAAAATTAGATCAACCGTCGAAAGATTAAGTGGCCTTGCTGGGAACAAGTAGGAACTTAACAATCCAAGTTCAACCAGCGTTTTCTCTCATTGAATTATATTGTATTCCCACAATTACCCGTCCTTTCGGCATTGTGCGAGATCAGAGTAAATTCAGTGAAGTGTTCAAAACGAGTTCTTCAGTTTTTCAAATAACTCTTGGTAGGTACATAGTACAAGTCACTTGTCCTCTGTAAAACTGACATTTTCGTAGTCCATAAGCTTTGAAATGTTGTTGGATTAACAGGCAATTTCAGTGTTTGTCAGAGATTAAACCTCAAGTACTTCAAGCGCATGTAGCATGTGTTCAGCTTTATATGATTCAGTATTTCATAAAATTAGTTGTCTGCTCAGCTGACTGCTAAATTCGCGACGCCGTAGTTGTAAATTTATCACTAGAAGAAAGTATATTGGATGTTTGGAAATGTGCTTTGCGGACAAAAATTGTTGCAACTTGGAATACAAAGAATTTAATTTCGGGTTCAGCTAAATGAAGCAAACTCTGTACTTATTTTTAATTTACCTAGGCTATTCGTCAGGAGCAGTTTGCATATAGTAAACACCTTAACAGCTGAACTATAGCAACTGAATATATGTTTGCATATAGTAAACACCTGAACTTTGCATTGAGAAGCTTTGCAATAATACTTAACTAAGTCTTCGTGAGATGTTTTTGACAAGTTGAGGTTTCTTCTAAACTTTTGTAACGTCCACACGCGCATTGCAATGTGGGATTGATTCATACCTAGCCAATCAGCGTGGAGGGTTAGAACTTGTGGTTCGGCGGTTATTCGCTCGTTCCAGTTCTATGCTGGTTCATGAAAGGTAGGCTTGGCTTATTTGTTCCTATGACAAACATTGCAACACTAAGACCACGAGATCGTTTACCAAGAAATAACAGTTTTAGGCAAAATTATCAACACATATAGCTCTAATACTTCCGGCTCACGAAAATGACAAAATGTCATGTCAATCACTTCAGTTACATATTCCTTTTACATCTTTATCACATACAGAATATAAGTAAACACAAGGGTTGCGTAACAAGTTATTAATTCTTTCGCCCTCATACTTTACATTCCTGATTGGTTGAGACACAAAACAGTGCGATTTTGTTTGAATAGTCTTCTCACCATAACAATATCGTGAAGTAAATGCAAGGAGTGCACAAACTTCGGGTCTTCAACTTAGCTTTTATATGCATTACTTCATCTAAGGCTTTAGCTTTACAATGAAGTACGATTAGTTGGCGGTTTTCGCAGGCGACGCATCACCATTCATGGCAAACGTAGAATTGGACGTGGCCAAACTCAAAGCCCTTGAATGGAGCACGGTTCACCTCTCACTGGCCCAGTTGTTAGAGAAACACCGTTTGCCGCAGATAGTCAAAATCATCGAGGGTTTCTATGGTGAGGGCAACGATTCCACCCTGTGCAGTGGTGCGATAATATGCCTGCAATCCGTCAAGGCTATTCAGAAAGTGCATGGTCGCTTGAATTGGGGTAGAGGTAAAGAGATTTCGATTCCTCTCGATTGTCGGTGCAAAGTTGAAGTGCGTTCATCGAATTTAAAAGATGTTTACGAAAGCATCGAAGAACTTTGTTCAGTGTTTCCAAAATACGTTCGTGTCGTACAAGGTAAAAGATTTCTTTACACAAACTGCAAAAATAGCAGAAATGCGAGCTGGTGGCGTCATTATATGACTTGTTACTATAGTCACTTCAGTCAGCCTTCTCTGCCAAGTCTGATTTTCCCTGTTTTAGAGTAAAAATACTTGCTTCAAAATGGCGTATCCTGCTCATACACCTCAGTCCTGTAGCCTCGGTTAAAATTTTTTACTACATGATATAATCTGACTTAAGGAAAACTGCTGTGTCCCAAAGCATAGTTAATCCCAGACATAACATAGGGCTACACGGTGGTCTTTCTGTCAACATGAAACTAAAGTACCTTAGCGAAAGCGAACACCAAGCGCTGAATAACATTTTTGTTGTATTTTCAAGGCTGTCACATAGAATCGTCAAGCGAAGCTCTACTAAACGTCGGGGATAAATTGCATTTGAAGGCCAATAAGAACAAAAAAATGACTGAAATGATAGTTTGTATCAACCAGTATGACGAGGAGATCCAACTACCGAAAGACTGTGTCGCTTGCTTCCAACCCCTGGTCGATGGAAAAGAGTACTACCTATCGGATGCTTTGAAGAAATTCAAAATGCCATTAAATGTACAATTCGTGGAATTTGACAGCATCGGTGAAGATGGGCGGTCGGATAACAGACCCCCTTTCCAACCCTTTCGAACTATTTGCCTGGACAGAATCTCCAAAGAGAAGGTAATTGAGGGAACTACGATACTCGCTGACGGTCAAAAGCTTTCGATGCAAGTCTCCCCTGACGTGGATATCGAGTTGGTTGTTTGCGAGGACTCGTTCCAAAATAGCGCTGATTATGCTAAGGTTTTACAGATCTTAAGCGAAGGAGCTACTAGCAAAGATAGCAACACACAACCCCACAAGTCTGGTAATGTTGACGAGATCCAAAAAAGTACGCAAGCCAAGCTTACCCAACCAGCGGCCCTTAAGCCATGCGCGAAAGAGCCAAAGCCAGTTGTTCTCCCAAAGCCGAAAACCAGAACTTCGAATTTGAGCCACGCCGAACAGGACCCCATTTACGAAGAAATTAGATTGAACGAGGGAGAACACAGCGAATGCCAACTTGTCATCAAAGATTCAACATGTACTGCCCTTGATCCGACAGATATTTCTAACCACCAGTATGAAAAGCCTACTGAGAATCTGCTCTCACAGAGCTCAGAAAAACATCTGAACAAACCACGCGATTCACTACCCATTAGACTTCCAGCTACATTTAAGGTCGGGGATTGTAAACACCCGATAACTAATAATAGATCAGAAGATACTAACACCAAGCCAGATCGTGCTGCAAAACTAGTCGAGAGTTGGTCTACGTCATCCGACACGCACCCTCAGAATCCTTATACTATCCCTGATTGTCCCACTAAAACACCGGATGTACACCCCACGTCCGAATACATGAAAGAAGAAATTTACCAAGCAATCGCCACATATCCATCGGATCTTTCAAGTTTGAATGTTGGAGCTGTCGGCAGACTATTAAACTATTTGGGAATGGAAAAACACGTTGAATTATTCGCCGATGAGCTGATAGACGGTTCAATGTTGGCGAGCATGGATAGGAAAAGTTTACAATCATTGAACGTAGATTCATTCCATGTCACGAAGCTGTTGAAATTCATCGATGGATGGCGACCTAAGGTTTGAGGCATATTCCCACAGACATGACAAGTGCAGATGACAAAACAACACCGGAATCAATCTTACATGAATTAGCCCACAGTCATCTCGTGTGGAACTTTCATTTCCGTTTCACAGAAGATGAAAACACACTCGGAAGCAATGTGAAACTTGAAAAGCCCTCGAAGCCTCTTTCAATGAATATTTACTTGCAATATTGGACGTGAAAAATTTCACCGAACAATTGTATTAAAGATGTTTTTGTAAAGACGTTTGAAGCTTTCGAAACCAAACAGCGTGGGTTCCGCCTTCCATGCATATTCCATATTTAATTCATCAAGTTATTCGGAACGCATGAAAATAATATTGCTCAGCTGGACTTCCTTATGTGAACTTTCGGATTGAGCAATAACGCTGTTTTCCTAAATATACTTTTCGTCTCGATTATTATTGTTATTATTCTAAATCTTTATACAGGATAAAAACTTCAGTTTCTACACAATATTTATACAATAAAATACAGTGCGACAACTGTTATCAACGTTTGTTCTGTAAACCTAGCTATATACAATACAATTGAACATTTCAACTACATTGAACATTTCAACTCTACGGATAAATTTCAACTACAATAGATTTCGCCACGGAGCATTTTACAGAAATACAGCAAAATACACTCATTGTGACTGAATGTACTTATTGTGAGTTTATTCAGTACCAGTTTGTTCCAATAAAGATTTTACACGACTAATTTATTTTAGTATAGATCAATTTTTTGGTTGAATTGCTGTATTTATTCGTCACTGACACATGCACTGCAAGGTAAACATCTTATATATGAAGAAAACGTTGAAATACGGAAGACTTACTAACAGAAATATTTCATTACTTCCTGGAGAAAATTGTGCAATTGAATCTCGAATTAAATTGTGCAATTAACCAGTGTGCAATTATGCAATTAAATTCGGAACAGCAAGGTTCCATAAGGTTTGTTTTGATTGTACACAATTGCAGTAAACGTATATATTTTTGACCAATATTCCATCGATAATGTTTCTAAACCAAGCACGTATTTCTTAATTGTGACGACCAGACATCGGTTTCGGAATGTTAAAAAAGTTAATTGGTCAAGGCATTTATTCCGCTAAACAGTGGATTTTGCTAATCCGTCTGGATGTTGTTTGTTTGAATCGGTTTTTGTGATGAGAATTGTTTGGAATTAACGGCACGCAGTAGGCAAATTCAAGGATATTTGGCTTTGAATTAGCTCTGATATAAACCTCAACACCTGCGATCGAGGAATCATGGACAGCACAGAACTGGAATTGGCGAAATTTGAGTCAATCGAGTGGAGCCCAGCCTACCTTTCGCTCTCAAAGTTGCTAGATAAATATCCTTTGCCACAAATTGTCAAAATCATCGAGGGCTTCTACGGTGAAAGGAACGATTCCACTTTGTGTAACAATGCCATATTATGCCTGCACTCAGTCAGAACGGTCCAAAAGGTTTACGGTCACTTAGGTTGTGACACCGGTAAAGAGATTTTAATTCCACTCGATTGTCGAAGTAAAGTCGAAGTGCGTGCATCGAATATGAAAGATGTTTACGAAAGCGTAGAAGAGCTTTGCTCTGTGTCTCCAAAATACGTTCGTGTCTCCCAAGGTGAATAGCTATTGCACTTTATAGCTATAGAATTAAAGAAATATTGAATTACAAGCTTTAAGACGTTAGTAATAATTACAAAGTCACTTCCTGCTTTGTTATACTTGGTTTCTTTCGCCCTCGTTTCACACAAGAGTTCTGCCATGGTCGTATTATCCTGGCTAGTATCTATTTTTTTAGTATCGAGCAGAAAATGAGTAATATCTTGCCCAGATCATGTAACCAATATTATTATTATTATCTATTATTCTATTTTCAGCCTATCACAGAGAGTCGTCAAACGAAGCTCTATTGAACGTCGGAGATAAATTGCAGTTGAAAGGTAATAATAAAAGAAAAATGAAAGAAAATTTGGTTTGTATTAACCAAAATGGCCAAAAAATTGAACTACCGAAGGACTGTGTCGCTTGCTTCCAACCCCTGGTCGATGGAAAAGAGTACTACCTATCGGATGCTTTAAAAAAATTCAAAATGCCGTTAAAAGTGCAATTCGTAGAACTTGACAGAATCGGTGAAGATGCCCGGTCGGATAACAGACCGCCTTGTGAACCCTTTCGAATCATTTGCCTGGACAAAATCTCCAAAGAGAAGGTCGTTGAGGCGACTACGATACTTGCTGACGGTCAGAAGCTTTCGATGCAAATCTCCCCTGACGTGAATATCGAGTTGGTGGTTTGCGCGGACTCGTTCCGAAACAACGCTGATTATGCTAAAATTTGTCAGATGTTCAACCAAGCAACAACACCCAGCGAGGATAGCAACGCACAATTGTACGAAGATATTGATGATGCGATCCGAAATATAACGCGAAGCAAGCCTACCAAACCATCGGTTAAGCGCTCCTCTCAAAAGCAAAAACCAGTCGTATCACCGAAGCCGAAGCCAAGAAATTTGACTTTGGCGCGCGCTGACCCGGATCCAACTTATGAAGAGATTGGATTGAATACAAAAGATGAACGCGAACCCGTCATTGAAGAGTCGCAATATACCGCGCTTGATCCGACGTATATCTCCAGTCAAAAATATGAAAAACCTGTTATGGAACAACAACAAATTCAAAGCTTTAGAAACCCACTTAAAATGGCTCAGAAACCTCCTCCCGTACCCAAGAAAGCAGTCAAAATACCTACCAATGTTTCATCTGAAGTCAAAAAGTGTAATAAACCTGACGTTTTGTACAGCGAGCCAGACCAACCAACTCTTTCGAAACCGCCCGTCACGCACCCCAAAAATCCTCATAGTATACCTGAATGTCCCGCCAGAACACCTGATGCACACTCTTCACCCCATTTAAGTCGACATCCTGTAGTTGAACCCGAGAGCAAAAATGAGGGGAACTACCTCGCCATCGCAGAATATCCATTAGATCTGTCAAACCTGAAGGTTGCAGACGTTGGCAGGTTACTGGAATACCTGGGCATGAAAAAACACGTTGAAATATTTAGGAAAGAGATGGTCGACGGCTCGATGTTGGCTTGTATGGACAGAGAGAGTTTGCACTCGCTGGATGTTGATCCGTTTCATGCCAAGAAACTGTTGAGGTTCATTGGAGGTTGGCGTCCTAAAATGTGACTGAGTTTGCACAGACATACCTGTAGACAATATATCATATAATCTCGTCTGATCCTTTACTTTGCAAGAATATAAACACAAAAATTGAATTTGACAAGCATTTGATATCGCACAATAAAGTCGATGCAATTTTTCATGCCGGAAACACAGTATATCACGAAAACAAATGAACGCCGACATTTTCAGAAAGCAGTCAAAGCACCACATTTCATTTGAAAAGAGTTAGATTTTCATTGTTAAACCTTTAAATTGTTTCAGAAAGGTCAAGCACACTGATCAGAAACACACACATTTTCTGTCACATTCAATGAATACGACTGTGCTTTTGGATATATAAAATATATTCTATTACACTGTATATGCCCACTTTCAGATAATATTTTGACCAAGGGCAGTTTACAAAACCACCAGCATTCATTTTAATCACGAAGTGCTGCCATAATTGCATGATTTGTTCAATTGCATACAACTTTCTAATGGCAGACGTTTCAATACGCAACAACGATGTTATGCCAGAAATATTACCCCGCATTTGATGCAATATGCTGTATATTGACCAGCTACATATTAGACTCTCATGCAACTTATGGTTTTTTTGAATGGAGGTATGAAATAAGTAAAGTCTCGTGCACGTAAAGTAGATATAACTATCCTTGAACCTTAATGATAATCTTTCAACCACTGAAAACAGAGCCGTGAAATGAACCAGTATATTTAGTAGCTTTTACATAACACCCGCTCATTTCAAGAATGTGAAGTTATTTTCAAAATTTCTGAAATGACTTAAAACATATTCGGAAGTGATACTACCAATTTGTCGTTTGAGACAATTGTTTAAATCCAAGTTGTTATCCTGTTTTGTCGTATAATTGTGTAACTTAGTTCCTTATTTTTTTGAATTAAACATCGAGAGATTATATTGAGTGAAATAGAGTTGAATTTTATATATAAAGAAACAAGACGATATTACAGAATTGCTTGCAAAATATCATAATATTAGGGCAAAAGCATAGACCGGTTGTTATTCAATTGCCCTGGCTGACATATCTTGCACAGCAGGTTTGATAAGGATGTGTTTTGTGCCAGGGTTTCGAACCTTTTGAAATCACACAGCATGGTTTCGTTTTATCATTTTGAATATTTTATTAAATTATTCAAAACCGTGTGAGAAGAATACTGTCTCAACTGACTAGCTAGCTGTTTATGTACACTGACATTTTACCGAGTATACCTTTGGCATCCAATATATTTTGCTGTCTCGACGTGAAGCCTTGTGAGATTTAGCAGAAGCGAATCACAAAGCCGAAATAGCTACTGATTCGAAACATTGCCAAGCACGGAAGACGTGGCGACTTTAATTGTTTCGATAAAGATTTGGACTTGCCTATGTAGTCAATTATTTCACAATCTCTGCGATTTGTGTGGAACATTGTCGGAGTATATTCGGCATGCGAAGTCTTCACATGGTAAACACAAGAGAAATTGAAAATACAAGCTCACGCGAAGGATATTGATGAAAAGGTAAAAGAGTTACCAGTAAGCAGGTGATTCAAGATTTCATTTATAACTTCCGCCTAAAATAACTCCGGACTCAAATCATCCAAAGGTTTTGCATAAATTGGAAAGTACTGACGAGCATTGAGCTCGACCTCTTTAAGTAAACAAGAAAATACGGTTGGTTTGCCGTACACAACTTCTTAAGGATTAGGCTTTTAAATTAACAATCTGAATTCACGACGACTTCAAGTGGCGCTGTAAGGATCCATAAACAAACACACCAACGTCTCGCTACGAGGAAGTGTGAAACAAAAATTACGTTATATAGCTGTCAGTGAAGCTAATTGTGAAGTAAGTTAGATACCGTTGTTTTGTATATTATGGTATCCCGTGGGGAAGACGATCTGCTCAACACGATAACTTGGAGCGATGATTCGTATATCTTGTCGGAATTTTTGACCGAATTTCCGTTACCACAAGTGGTTAAAATCGTGCGTGGTCACGATGGAACGATGACAAACAGCCCAACTTTAGGTTTCGGCGAGGTGCTCACCCTGCACGCCTTAAGAGAATCACGAACACTCGTCGGTGAGGACAAAAATGAAAACGAGTTCGCTGTCGCTTTGAACTATCCGGACGACTTTCAGGTTCTACCTCAAACGAGTGACTGTAAGCTCGACTCGTGCGGCGTGACCGATTTAGCATCATTCTACCAAACCGTGAAGTACTTGGAAGTGATTCAAGCGCATTATGGTACGGACGAAGACCTCAACTCCTCGGCGCAAGGGGAACTGTTGGAAATACTGGACATCGTCAAACCTCAGAAACCCGATAAGGCAAAAGTCCACGTTCTTAATCTGCATAGTGAACAGAAATCCACGCTGACTTATACGTGCTCGGCGAGATTTAGACCGCTTCTCGATTGGAAAAAATACAAAGCTAACGAACTGAAGACGCATCAGTATGGGTTTCCAATAAGAGTGAAATTCGCAGAAAACGCCGATTGGATTCGTGAAGATATGGAATGTCAGAGGTAGGCAGGATTTACTGTCACTGCTTTGTAATACTGTAAGATTGATTTAAGTCGCTTAAACGTACCACTTCAGACAATACCCTTCAATAAATATATATTTCATAGTCTTTGTATGTAAAATGACATGTCCGTATTCAACATTTACTGATGTTTAATGGATTAATGCCAAAGAAAACAAACATCAAGTCGAAAAAAATTTTCCCCCAAATGAAATTACTATAGGCTCTAAACATTATTATGACTTTCGAGTTTTGTACGTTGCTAGCTCATGCAAGCGGCGACACGATTTCAAATCAAATACAGACTACAATATTTTATTTATAAAATCGTGTGTTGAGAGATAATTTGATATTAATCCCTAAACGGCGAAACCAAGGCGTTTCTCACGAACCTTAAAGGGCCTGACACAACAAATACATGGGCGATTCTTCGAGTCTATTCTTCCTTAGACCTACGTGGTATAGCTGACGCTAATTGACAGTCTCTCGTACACACACGCCGCTGTAGAAATCTTACACATCTAAATCTTGTTCAACAGGATAATTTCGAAGACCCCTGTCATCAACATCACAGACGAGACACAGGATATTACAATCATCAGCACAACAGTAGCGAGCGATCCAGAGTTGAAATTCTGCTACGAAATCCCGAAAAATTTGGAAATAAAGGTCGCCGTCGCGGAGGGCTTTGCGAATGGTGCCAAGCACTACACCGATGTCGTTGACGATCTCAACCAACGCTTTGACGTTGCGAAATTCATGACCAGCTTCGAGCCGACGATGATACGACGTCGCAACGCAATAAGACAATATAACTACGACACAATAAGGAAATGTATCGTGAAAAAATTCAGACATTCTGTCCTCGTGGAACAGGCGACGGACGCCCCAGCGCTACCACCGAGGCGTCAAGTGCCTAGAACTGTTAGTATGCCCCCAACTCCACCGAAACCAACACCAACCGCCCCCCTCCGGTCAAATTCTGAATCTCATGTTGAACACGATGCTATAGATTCTCCTCCAGGGGGGGAAGATGATGCATCGGCAACATTATCTGAAGCTACACTGCAATCAACTGAAGATGATGTAAATAACCCTAAAGGTCCTGGGGTGAGACGAGTAAAGCCACCAATAAACACCCCAATTACTCCGAAGGCACACGCCAGTAACCCTGATGATCCCCCAAAGCCAAAAGCGAAGGAGGCTAAACAACCTGTGAAACCGCCTATAAATACCCCAAATTCACTACCAGTTGTACCACCAGCAACCACCAATGATCACGCGGACTCGAAGAGTAACAAACCACCGGTGGAATTGCGAAAACCCGCCCCAGATTCTGTGTCAACCATAAAAAATAAACCAATTTCACCGCTGGTGGCTGAACTAAAGAGCCGTGTTAAGATCCCTGTTCGACCCCCACGTTCCCTGCCCCCGGGTAAAAAGTCCAAACCCGAAGAAGCCGAAACGAATGAACCCCCGCCTAAAGCAGTTACGACTAACAAGCCCCTTGATAAGGCACTCGATGAAACAGATGCTCCTGTAGTCGAGGCTAAACAAACCATCACAAAGAGTTCACCATCGGCTCCACAAACCGACGTACAGGCAAATCTGCAAAATAACGAACCAGCTGTTGCGGCTCCGAAATTACCGCCGCGTGACGGACGGCCAAAGTTGCACGAGACGCCCAACAATGACCAAGGTAAGCTGATGCAGTCATTTATCTTTCTGAAAGTGCACGCGACATGAAAATTACACCTGCAGAAATTTATGCCATGTTTACACCAGCCTGCCTGGACCTGGACTGCCTGGTCCAACTCTACTCGTATATAATCTCAAGAATTGAATTCGTGTATTTGGGATTTACTGCACATGAAATTATTACTAAATCACTGGTGTTGCATCGTAGTATAGCCTTCCTTTGTATTGTATTGCATTGTATTGCATTGTATTGCATTGCATCGTATTGTATGATATTTTATGTATACACGCCCCCAGATTATGTATTCAAGAGCGTAGATTACTTCACTTCGCTAAGATAATGCAACTTTGTATATAATATACTCAATAACATACGCTAGAAAGAAAAAACCGCCGACGAAAATCGCCCTTGTAGCTTCGGCTTTATAGGTTTACCGACAAACATGGAAGTTCTGTTGTTCACATTTGACTAGTGCCTGTCTAAATGTAATATTTGCTTTTTCAAGGTGGTTCTATGGCGGAAGAAGCTCGCACAACTAGTCAGAACGAAGAGAACCATCACCAACCTGGCACAGATTATATCCCTAACCTTCCCCCGAAATCCCCCAAATGGCCGGAAAAATATCCCATAGAAAATCCCAATTACGTTATCCCAATACAGCCAAATGTGTCCAGCAATTACCCTCAATCGCCCTCCGTGCCTCCTGCAGTACCCTCTAGTCCCCGTCCAGGGAACAAGTGGGGAAAGAAACGTTCTGACACATTACCGAGAGAATTTAAATTCGGCCAAAACAACGAGTACGCTGTTCCACAAACAGGGAATGAAGATAGCGTGTACGAAGAGCCGTTTCAAAGACCCGTAGCAATGCCGACGGTACACGAGAAGAATTCTCCTACGACTGCTAAGTTCCCAGGTCACGATGAAAATCCATACGACTTGGTGGCTAGGATTCCCTTAGATCTATCTGGCCTCAGCATTGGCCAGGTCTCTGATTTGCTGAAGAATTTGAACATGGCCGAGTATGCAGAGACGTTTGAGAATGAAATGATAGACGGGTGTTTGCTGAAGGAGATGAAGGAGAGCCAATTGACAGACCTTCAAATGACTTCTTTTCATCGCACGAAGTTGCTCAATTTTATCAACGGTTGGCGGCCGAAATTAGCAGCAGACAAACGGAAAACCTAATCAATGGAATATCATTGCCCTTATTTCACAGGAAAACTCCAGTTTCGTGCATGAAATATACAGTTCAGGTGACACAAAAATAGAGATAATTTTCACTGAGAACCGAATAGAATAGAAACATTAACTGTCAATATCGGTAATAACTTTTTTTCGTTCATTAGGTGGCTTTCGCGCATTATAATACACGAAATTCGCGCAATAAGCCAATGCAAATGCTAAAAGAGGCGAAGTGTAGGTGGCATCGCAAAAAAAAGCAAGGTTGAGCTGGTTTTGTTTGCAAAAGTCCGAATTTCATCGCGTTGATGGATGAATGTGTGTTAAACCAGCGTAAGGCGACTGACAGTTGTTATACCCAACATCAAACAAGTGTCTCATCGATTTTTTTTACATTAAATTAGCACAAGCGCACGTACAATAATTTTACAATTACCGTCAGCTTGGTTGATTTTTAAAACAGGTACATTCATCAGAAGCGACTGTGGAATCAACCAGGACGGTGCCTAATGACGTTATACGCCAACGAAGAATATTTAGGCACATTGTAGTTAGAGAAATCTTTAAAGAACCAAGCGGATTAATGTGATTAATGGTATACATTGGACGAAAATACACAAACAATGGACGTATCTACAATAATAATTATCGTCCATTAGATATAAAGAGAGACTAAAGATCTTAATATGCTTGCGCCTAAATTTCTCTAAATGTATCGTGATTATTCTTGTGAATTATTGATCATGAAATTATATTTACATACAGATGAAATGTGCAACACGGACACAAAGTTTAGAATGTTGCTTTTGTGTTTGTTGTGATGTTGTGTGTTGTTGCTGTGTTGTTGTTGTTGTTGTTGTTGCTATTGTTGTTGTTGTGTTGCTGTTGTTAATATTGTGTTGTTGTCGTTCTACTTCTGCTGTTAGGGACCTTAAGCATATAGGACGGGAACACGACGACGGCAGCTATAAATACAATGCTTAATTGAGAAGAAATGAATTATTAAATACCTATGGGAATTTTAGACGTGATCTGAGTTCGGTTTAGAACGGCAAAACGTCGTTTATTACGTCCTATGTAAAACGTCTGCATTTCGGGACTCAGTGAGCGCTACCCTGAATTAGACTCAATAGAATTGTCCCTAAACGTAAACAGGATGTTTTCAACGTCTTATATCTCATTAATTTGGTACAGTTGATAATATAGAACAACGCTTTGCCATAACATTAATTCAAAGGAGTATTCCAACCACGTCGTCGTCGTGTTGCCGTCCTACATGCTTAAGGTCGTGTTGCCGTCCTACATGCTTAAGGTCCCTATTGTGTTGTCATCATTGTCTTGACAAGTCCCAACCTAAACGGCAATCTTGTAGTTCCCCTTCAATCTGTGATCGTGGGTCGCCAGTTTTCGCTGATAGCTTTGATCAATTTGTGAGCATGAAACGGTGTCATCTTAAAATGGGACTGAAGGATTTCCTTGTCCAACTCTTTTAAGATTTTACCATCCACTTGTTCCTTCTCAAAAACTTCGCTATACTGTCCCAAGTTTAGGTCATCCAGTAACGTCTTGACCTCATGGACAGTCAAATCCTCTGTCTTGCGGCTAGATTGGATAATCCTTTGGCGCGTTTGTTTAAAACGGTCGTTGTAATCGATAGGGGAAATGGGGGGAACAGGGACTGGTGGCGCTTCATAAACCTCACCATCGCTATCGTCACTGTAATCATCCTGAACAAAAAAAAACATTTATAAACCTCAAGAGAAACACACATTTAACCAACGTGCTTCAAAAGTCCCTTTTCCGATTGTACGAAAGCTGCATAGCGCTATCCACCGGAAAGGGCCTTTTGCAATCGCTCTATAATTGCCCGTTGTTCGGTACAACTTGAATTAAACCTTGGTATTCTTAAATTGGGGGTTCGCTTCAATAACTGCTAGCTCCAAATAAGAATATTTTTTTCTCCAGAATTTTTAAAACGGTTGAAAAAATCACTATCCGGTGTATAGCGCTATCCAGCTTTCATACAACAGGGCAATGGTTTAGATATAGGATTTAAGCATTTTATTAGAAACAAGACGCTTTGAGAAAGACGACTTTAGGGTTAAGTCGCCGATGGTATTGAAATGCAGAGTTTTTCAAACTATTAGCAACCTGGACATTAAACTGTTTCGATGTCGTTAAAGTTTCCAATTTAATATATTAATTTTCTTTATTGGAAATTTATGTACTTCGGAGATCTGCGAAAAATACGGGCCGAAACCTATACGGGAAAAAGACTAATAACTATGCAATCTTGCAGTTAAAAACTGAATTACAATGATTTTACAAAAGATTAGGGTACGGTTTAGGGATAGTACAAACAGAAATATACCATGAAACATGTCTACATAAAACAGAGATACCAGCAAAGTATAACAGCCTATATAGTTCAAAAATATTAATTTAGGAACTGAAACTCTTCTGCGTCATATAAAGTTGTTACAGACGGGGTATGAAACTCTTATGTTTGCCGTTAGTTCTACAAACTGGGGTTTCGAAGCACCTACTACGAAGCGTGGGCAATCTTGCAACCAGAAGTACATATACATAATATATTACCCTACCTCTTCCTGACGTTTTTCGGTGTCTGCCGGAGGTGTTGTAGAGTATGACAGCCCTAGAAAATCAAAATATCCAATTTCATCAATAGATCCTCACCCCAAAATCATCCACAGATTTAGATGAACTCAATTTGAACACAGCCTTAGTTTTTTTTAATCTGTTTTAATGACATGTATTATAAATTGCAGCATTGGCATTTAGCCGTCGTGCCGTTCCTGCCTAATTTGTCGTTTGCGGAAAAATCCATGTAAATTTTATGTTGTAAAATGATGGCAAAGTGCAGGAATAAATAAAAGAATCTCGAACCGAGGATTTTGAGAAACGATGTGAGGGAACATGCAAAGGCCCTGGGTTCAAGGTTGCCTTGGCTCTTAGACACGCACGCATGCGCGAGTGCAAGCAAGTGCTGACCAAAACACACCTGAGCTACCGCTTAATTTCCTGGATAGTGTTTGAATGAAACCGATTACTTTGCCTTTCCCAGTACCTTTGGGCGACGTTATGGGGCTTGTGCTGTCAGCGGCATCTTTTTTTGGCAAACCAGGAGAACGTGATGTAACGGGCAACGTAGAAAACTTTGCATTAAAAGGAGTCTTCGGGTTTCTGGGAACCGTGCTACTTTTTTTCCCGCCAACAGGGCTTTCTAGCTTACACGTTCCTTCAGCTGGTTTTTCGTACCCCTCATCATTTTCGTCCTTCTTTTGGAATAGGGACTCCATATCAATATATCCTCCATCGTCCAAGGGATAATCTTCATCCTCCTCCTCGGTGGGGCTAGCTTCGACCGCGGGTTGTTTGCCGAAAAATGACTCTGCATATGGGATAGCCGTGACGGCGGCTTCAACGTCATCGTATATCTAGAAAACGACAAACAAGCATTACCCATGTAATCTCAATCCACGCAGAAACTACGATATAAATTACGGTAACCATGCATCAACATGATAAAATCGTAAAATTTTTGAAGCAAATATTTTAGGGCATAATTTTCAATGCAAGCACGATAGTTTCTTGTTATGATATAAATGCTGTATGGTTTTATCCAACATCGTAGGAATTGGTGTTTATGAAGTTTCAACCCGAAAATCTAATCACTGGTTCACAATGGTGCATTTCTGTATCGCTATCAAAGAGAACACTATTGAATAACTTTAAAAAGTTCATTTTTTCTTCCGATAACTCGTTCCATGTAAACAGGCTCTTAGTCGAAATCTTTTAGAACATAATAATTATTCAATGCAAGCACGATAATTTCTTGTCAAAATACAGTCCTATAACATTCTATCCAATATTTCGTACTAGTATTTAAACTAGTATTTTCGTTCAACTTTCTGGCCTTTTTTAGTTCCTCCAGGACTGTTCAATTTGTGTGCAAGTAAATTCCGCCATTTTGTTTATTTTGGCAAAATCATTAATTGTAATGCAGTACAATTAATGAAATAAATGTACTCCTCTCAATCAACAACATCCATGCAACAATTTTATGATGCTAATAATACATTTAGATTATGACCTTGAGATTTTTATGAGATGATAGTTGAGAAGGGAGGAGTCTCTGATATTATATATAGTTCATGAACGATAGAGCTCATGCCTATATATGGCGAGTAATTTCCTCGGTAAAACTAAGTAAAGAAACAATGTTTCCAAGAGTTTTATTGCACTAGGTTCTTAGTATCATAAAATGCATCGTATTAGAACTTACCCCTTCATTTTTCGCGATGTTTTCTTTCACCTTTGTCAGATTCATCTTGCTGTTAATATCCTCACATAAACTACGATATTGTGAATGGCTGCCAGTCGCCTCAAGCGGGGCGAATACAGTCACGTCAAGCGTGCTGGGAAACGTTAATATCGACTGGCTTTCCACGTCACGAGACGTTGCGATGACGGTTTGTTTTAAGACAATCTTCCTCACCCGTATCAAACCTCTTGGAAGGTACCCAGACGAGCTGCTTTGCTTTATAAACTGCACAGTAAAAGGAAGTGAAAATTTGTCATGTGCTTCAGCAATGAAAACAGTATCCTTGTGCTTTTCTGTAACAATGAGTTCGCTCAACTGATCCAAACCCAAAGTGACTTCACAACCGCGACTGTCCAGGCAGATTAACTTCATCTTATCCTTGTCGAAATACAATGCTTTCAATTTTTCCCCCTCCTCGTCTCCCTTTGTTCCATTGCCGTTTGGTAAGCGAACGTATGCGTATTTACTCGGAAATACTGAACATGCCCTCATAGGAGTATTGCAATCATCCAAACACTTTTCCACGAAAACCTGGACTTTGTGGGGCGAGTTTAAGGGGATGTATATCTCTTCCCCTATATCGGTGATTCCCAGATAATATTGCGTGTCTTTTAGAGCGTGAAGATTGAGCTCCTGCCCTCGACCCAGTGTTGTTTCGTCAGTGGCTCCATACGCTCCTTCGCTAATCTGTTGCCGAAGGAAAAAGATACAGTTGAACAATTCTGGATAAAGGTTTTGCGATCACTCAAGTGATGTTATGGTAGTATTTATCACTAGTTACGTGCCCAGAGAGACCTGTGCGATGTGTCAACATAGAAGCACACCCAATATATGCGATAAAGCTATCTGGGTGATCTAAAATGGGACTGGGAATAGTATTTAAAATGAAAATCTATAACTCGGTTGAAACAACCTGATGTAATATCCCTATATTCTTGAATTATTCTTTAGTTTGGTTTTCAAATTTATGTCAGAGCTATAGTTTTTATAACTAAACAAAATCACAAAATTTCGACTAGTTTCCTAAGTAATGATATACGGTATTATCTATTAAATATTGCAGAATTGATTTCTATTTTTATCTATTATAAATTGATTTCTATTTCTATCTATCATTATCTATCATAAATATGGAATACATGTGTATTCATGTGTACTGGAATAGCTTTGCTTAGAATCTCAGAATCATATATCATATTATATATGTCAAGTGGTAGACTATGACCTTTTCACTCTGCCCTTCGCAAAAACATTTTACTCTGTCAAATGTCATTCAAACTGCACCTTACCAGAATATTATTCTGTTCAATGTCAGACCTAGTTTGTCTGACCCATTTTAACCTTTCAATGCCAGAATTTTTTGCTCAGTCAAAAGCCAGACCAATTTATTTTGTCTAACTTTGCGCCAAGTCAAGCTATCTCACTTTGTCAAATGCCAGCCAATTTTACTACTTCATGCGCCAGAATGACCATATTTTATACTTTATTTAAGCCCATATACGTTTTTACTTTGTAAAAAGCAGCGAGCCACTAAGGTTTAGGAAGATTTAAATTATAAGGTATATGATAAATATACGTGGGACGTGGGATGATAGTCGAAAGGTCTGTAGTTTTTTTAAACATTGTAAATAGTATATAATATTACTGATTCCTGATTCGCATTCTGTTGCTATCACTTCTTCAGTCTGGACGTATTTTTATAAAATCATGTACACTCTTTCATTTCACGACTCTAAATATATTCTGCATGATAAGACAACTTATATAAAAAGACAATCGATACGATCTGATTGATTAAGGTTGTGTAGGGGGTGACGATAAATTTGTTGTAGAGAAATTGTACAATCGCCACTTTCTTGATTTCCATAAGTGATAAGTGTCGTAAACAAGTCATTTCCGACGGTGTGATATAGTCTAGATCTATATCGTTTCCTTGTACGATCTTCAAATGCGATATCTACTAGGATATACGAAATTACACCATACCTAACCAATACAGCGCCTATACCCTGACATGTCAGTCACAAGCTAGGTCATGCAGTTACCACAATATTTAAACCCAATTTACAGGCTTATTACCTTTATACCACAACTATTCGACATTACTAAAGCACTGGACAATCGAGAACGAGAGTTGATGTGAGTTGAGAAGCGAGAGTTTGCACGAGAGTTTTCTAAACTGTCGTGCGATGGTCGAACGAGGATGAGAGTTGACAAGAGTGCACAAGAGTGTACGAGAGCTGCAACTCTCATGAACTCTAGTTTTCGTTTGACCGGGACTTTAGCATAACATATTAGCTATAAATAACGGATAATTATGAACATATTTCACCATTGTTTCCAATACTACAGACATCTTTCCAAGAAAGTGGTTCAGAGTCCAGACAGTGTCGAGAATAAGAACGAAAGTGTATTATTTTGTACTTCGAACGAGTACAGAATTCGCACCTATAGCTATATAAGGCAAGCAATGCATCTCTTCCTGCTATTTTGGTACGACAAATCTAAAACACGCAGTGTACGTCGATTCCACATTGAAAGAAACGTTGGTATTGACGAAAATCGAGCGCTGAGATGAAGAAGTAGATGTCGCAAGCAAAGGAGGCAGCGAGAAATAGCAACTTATGTATACACGAAGGTATTTGACCATGGCCGCCGAACATTTATAGAACGATTAATATAACACATTGAGATTAAGCTTCGACGACTCAAGGTACATAATATCACAGCGTCTGTTGTTGTCTGATGCGCCGTGCGAGAAAAAGTTGCAAAGCGGTTGTGGAGTAGAGCTAGGTAGATACGCAACTTGAAAGAGTTCAAAAATGTAACCAGAGTTACGCGGTTTGGATCCAAACATCTTATGATTTCTAAGCATGAATGGCTGATCTTACACCATGGCAGCAATCGAACGAGCTAGAACCTTGCTTGAGCGCTTCATTCGAATAATACAAGCGTATAGACTAGAATGACCTATGCTATAAAGTATTCATCGTATTATATAAAGTACATCGTATTGCTGTTGTCATTACCTGTACAATTTGTGGCAGATTGAACCGTTCCAAGAATAATGTCAACGGAACCTCGGCGTCGCTCCAAGTAAGCGCCATTTGACTTCCTAGATTACCGCTTGAATCCCAGCTTCGAAAAAAAGCAATTTCCAAGTTTGTTTGCTTTTCAGAAGCTTCAAAGTTGTCTTGCGAGCAACTTATGTGCCATGGACTTCCTTATTTGCCATAGTTAACGAAACCCCGAGAAGTCAGGACAACCCGTGACGTGTTTGTCTACGCCGACACTTGTTGCATTCCAAGGCGTCGAGGTTTGACGACAGTTCACGAATGAAATATAAACAATGAAGGTCACATTGTAGAGTTCGAGCAATATAAAGCATGTCTAAGAGTCTTTGAATGTCTAAAGAGTGTTTGAAATAAACAAGCGACAAGTATATGCGATACATATGAAGACTTTTTATGCAGTCTACGATCTTCGAGTACTAAAGTACTTTATTTTCACAAAGACCGACCAAAAACATTTTGCATACGTAACAAACTAACAATGAATTTGGCTAAGTGATAAACAACTGACAGCAGTTGCCGAACATACTGTTGCACAAGGCACAACTCACAAGATGTCTTTCAAAAGCAATTTGTTGAACGATTTGTAAACTATTCTAGAGGCAAGATCTCTCTATGTTCCTTCGCGTACGGTTCTTTCAAAGCAAATTGCAATTCCAATTACTATGGAATCGCTATTCGTTGTGTAAACATATTTCTTCATGGACGGGTTACTATACGAATTATTATTGATTCGTTGTGTCAACATGTTTTTCAGTGGACGGGTTGCAATGAATTATTTCATTTTATTTGCATTGAAGATTACAGTAGGCAAACAATTTCCCACATTTCCCGACTTTCATTTTGTCGAGTTTCACCTGAGGATATACTTGAACACATACGAATAATGATGGTAACGGAAATTTGAACATTTATTGTTAAACACACAATTCCTGTGTCTGCTGTGACGATGATGGAAATTGTGAAAAATTCTTATCCCGGCTAGATGGTACACGGCGAGAACGGATAACCGCTGGAAATTGGTGCGCGGGCAATAGTATAGTAACACTTTCTTTCGGCTCAAAAGTTACAGTTTTTATAAGCGATTCACGGATATGAGTTAACTCTTAATAACGTATTCATTTATGACTGGCGAGGCACCTGCGTGTACGCAGGGAATTTTAATTACCAATACGGCCGTGGTGAATCTCGTTTCCAGGACATTCCCGCCAAAGAAACCATAGTGACATCAATGAAACTATAGTCACCTTCATATTTCACGAGGTTCTATGTTATTTCTATTTTTGGCTCGCTCGAAAGAACGAAAGCAAAATACATGTTTTTGATGCCTTCTGCGAAAGAAAAACCGAATTCAGGCCCGATGAATATGCATCAAATTTGATTCAAATTGTACGCAGGTGCATTTGAAGTTTCTTTCGTTTTCTTTTGGCGCACCGACAGCTTGTTATATATTCATAGAAGCAGACATCTCGTCGAAAGAATCTCGGTGTTTTATCAGTTTGCGGGACCGCGTAACGAATCTATTAAGTTCCCCATTTTCGGGGAAAGTTTAATTCGTTTTCAAATGTAGTTCTGCTTGAGAAAACATACAAAAAAACGCTTTCTCACGGAAACGGCAATGTGCAAACGTTGCCGTGCGACTCTTTGATCAGTTGTCGTCATTTAAACATGTAGTCACGTCGGAATTCAATTTACTTCTGGACCGACAAATTCATTTCATTTCGAATGGGAAATGAAATAAATTCGTTGCCCGCGTACTCGTAGGTTAGACGTTTTTCCCGTCGGAGCTATAGGTGAATAAATGTTGTACAGGATATATTTACATCAAAGAAACGTTCAATGAATCAATATTGAACTTCAGTAGTCTATATTATTACGTCGCCTACGCAGTAAGTCGCTCTCGAAGCTATATTCACTTTCGTTTACTTTCGAAAATTTGACAGCCATATATATCAGTGATATTTCAAATGATTACACTGCTAAATTTTCTTGTATTTCTAGTCATACTTATATTTTGGCGGTGTTTTTTTCGAAATGCCTTTTAATGATTTGCTTTATCGTTAAAGCAAACTAATGTGGTTGGTCACAGCGTGGTTAGCTGAAAAGATTACTTTCCATTCGGCGTTGAAGATACCATATATGGAATTTTCACAGAAATTCACAGCCCGTTGCAGGACGTAACAACGTTGTTGATTGGTCGAGAACACGTGGGTGGCAGCGTGAGAAAATGAATAAACGTACCTACGCTTTTCTCGCCAGCAGAAGCCTCCGTGTTATTTCTTTGTGTGTCATGCGAAGTTTCGTATCCCTAAAATGGAATTCAGGAAAACATGTTTAGTTCCGCAGCTCTCAAATTTAACGAGTTCATGATTTTTTTACTTCATAAAAACTATAATATCAGCCAATGGGACTTCAGTTCAATTTGCCCAGTATGTCCGAGTGGAAACTCAGGAAAACCGGCAATATAGCAAGTTTATTACGCGTTATAACCAACTGCCGTTAGAAACTATGGGAAATATAATAAAGCTGTCGAAAAAGGTTTCAAAATATGACCAATATAAGAATGTGACGAAATTTTTCGCATTCTTTTTTCATCAAGTTTACGAAAAACTTTGCCTCGTCGGCTTACAACACTTTGCAAGACGGCTTCTAGAAAGCTCGCCCGGAAGCTCGCATAAAGAGTTAAGGTAATGCCACACGAGACAACTTTCAATATCAACTCGCATCGCAACAATATTTTGAAAAAGGTTTACGCGTCGAATATAATACATATGAGATAGTTCACCTCCATTTAAGAAGTGCAACATCGCTTAAAATTTTTGTCAAAAATACACCTTTAATTAAAGTCACCGAAAGTCGTTTACCAAAGCGTTAAAAACTTACATAAAACTTATGCAAATATAGATATGAATCTATGGTACTGATATAAAGTTACAACAAATACCGTAGAATAACAAGTGTAATCAAAACAAATTTCATTAGTATTTATATATAAAGCACAGCTATACGACTGCTACAATAAGATAGTATTTTTATTAATATATAGTAAATCTTTATTTAAAAGTTACACGCTATATTATAGCCCCCTCATCAAGTTATGAAAGCTGATTTTTACGAGGGTCGTCTACTAAATAATTACTTGAATCAATATAATATACTATAAATATTATTAACTCCCACTAACCCCATTAATCAGTATAATTATTCATATATACGTTATAGTACAATAAGCATAATAAATCATGTATTACAAAAAGCTTCATTCATGCAGTTGCAAATTTTGAGCACGAATTCCTTCTTTAAATCGATTGTATGTAATTACGACACATATAAGAATGGGTCCTTTTTATATCTTATTATATATAATGTATAATAATTATTATATTATCAATTATATATAATTACGACGTATATAATAATTATATATAATTACGACATATCTAAGAATGGATCCTTCTTATATCTTATTATATATAATGTATAATAATTATTATATCATTAATTATATAAAATTACGACATATATAATGATTATATATAATTACACAGGTTGGTAGAAATTTTTATAGTTTAGTTCCATCTGAGAAAATAAAAAACCGGTCGCCTTAGGAATAGCCACCGTTTTCCTTTTCAATTTTGGATAGCAGGCCGCCAATTTTGACGTGCAGCTCTTTCCAAATCACGTGCATGGGATTCGATCATTTTGAAGTGGGTTTGAAGCAATTCTTTAGTTAAACTCTTCAGCAATTTCCCATCCACCTGCTCTCGCTCAAAAAGCTCTCCATACTGGCCCAGGTTAAGGTAGTTCAGGAACAACCTGACCTCTTTCACATTCAAGTCATCTGTTTTGCGGTCCCATAGAAGCTGTCGCGGAGCATAGAGCGTCTCGTAGTATACCCTTGGCGAAACATCCTATATTGCAAAATGAATCTCATCAAGTAATTTTAACACAATTCAATGCAAAAGTTCTGGTGTAAATGTTTTTCACAAAGGGACGCTGTCACGCTGCTAAGAACATATTTTCATGGAATAATAACCTCAATGAACTGAATAAAATGTAGCCGCAAGTGTGAGATTTTTGAATACCCTTTGTAGCCCTTTGAGACTTTGCAATATATTCATCGCGGGTTTCCCCTGTTGAACACGCATATATTCATTGCTGGTACAAACTGCTCAAAGTATTGAAAAGCTTTGTGCTGTCGGCCTCTCGTTCCACCGCTGCAGGCAATTCGATGAGAAGGAAATTAGCGATCGCTTAAACATGCAAAACATGCCTGAATTCACCATGCATGTTTACAGTAGCAAATAAAAGTTGAAATATGCTGTCGAAAGAACCTTGTACTATCATTCTCTTATACATTCTCATCCGGTGAACGGATTAAAGTTCTATTCGGGAGTATGTTTTATACTTCATTTAATCAAAATGTCTACTGCATGATGGCGTATGTTTATACCTCTATATCGACTAGAGGTAATTTTGCATACCCGAATAAACCCGAATATACCCGAATTAATACGTACCTCTTCCTGTCCAGTTTCGCTATCTGGTAAAGAAGGAAAATACCTAGATTAATGAAAAGCTTCCAAACACAATCCCCTTCCTTATAGACCCTAGGGTGACGCTATATACATATCAGCCGAATTTACATCTCCCCTCCCCCCCCCCAGGGTGACCCTATTTACATATCAGCGAGTTTAAACACTTCCCTTTTAACTGTTACAAAATGAACATGCATGAATTCATCTCTACCACTGTGACTCGGAGGGTACATATAGGGCTTCCCTGGTACTCGAGGTGACATAAACAGCGTTTTAAGCCCCGTGTACACTACGTTCAATTTTTGGTACGATACCTAAAAAATGGTACCAGTCAAATTTCACTCGTACCAATTTGATCTGTTTACATTATGTTCGATTTCAATTTTGGCACGGATGATGATGAGAATAATGAAATTCGGACAACCTAAATAGATGGTCCAAAATTTCATCCGTACTAAAACCGTAGTAAAAAAGAGGCTATAGATGCAAGTGGGTGACTTACTACAAGTGCAAACCAGAACAAACCTGAGATAGTGTTTTTTTTCCTTCTAAATATTCGGCTGAACAATCGGCCAACTCTTTGTTTCAAACCGCCAGTGCTTTTCGGTGGAGTTGCTGGACGTTCCTTAGGCATTGCTTTTGAGCTTGCCTGATCTTCAAAACCACCGCTACCATCGTCTGCGGCAGGTGTGACAAAAAACGTCGACGAATATGGAATGGACGACACGCCTGTCGTTTCCACATCGTCGTATATCTAATAAACGAAACAGACCCGTTTTACTCTTGCAAACTAAGTTGTTGTAGAAAAGCCTGGATTGCGATGTTGATTTGTTAACTAGTGAAAAACATGCGAATAAATTGTTAGAGCCAAGTTGGTTTTTCAAAGGTACAATGAAAACGTTCTGGGAAAGGCGTTTAGCTTAAACGACGGATAAGCCAAAATTTAAAAATACTCTCATACATCTTGTAAATCCCTGAACCTGCAACTCATGCATTAAATATGTACTTCCATTGACAATTAAGCTCTTTACATCGAAATAGTTCAGTTCATTTGCGGAATAATAAGAAAATTTTGTTTTCCATTTTGAACTTATCCGCCGTTTAAGCTAAATGCCTTTCGAACAACCGGCCCCTGGCTATATTGACAAAGGCAGTGAGAATTTCACATTTAAACTAGAATTAAGTTGGAATTTGTTTCACAAGCATTTAAACCTCGAAAAACATAAATTGCGTATTCCTACTATTCCATACTAGCCTTTCAATACACTATTTACTCTCATTTGGAAAATTTGTACTTCGTTTTTTGTCGTAAAAGCTACTTAAAGTGTTTACTTCAGGCTGGTTTCCATTTTATTCGTGCGTGTCGTGAAATGTCAAGGTGGCCGATGTGATAGAGTATTTCTATGCGTGGGAAGAAATAAAGACAAAAATACATCCAGACTATTTCTCATCGGTGAAAATGACTTCTTCACGACATTTATAATTAAATGGAAACCAGGCATTTGCAACAAATTATATAACGAATTTTAACTCAGGGCTATGGTGGCTATATAAATTATATAGGCTAATATAATAAAACGTACCTCGTCAGAACTTTCAATCTTTTCTTCAACTCTTTTCAAGTTCATCTTTTTGTTAACATTCTCCCGTAAATTACTATACCGGGGATGATTTTCACTTGCTTGCTCTTCAAAACCACCGCTACCATCGTCTGCGGCAGGTTTGACAAAAAACGTCGTTGCGTATGGAATGGACGACACGCCTTCCGTTTCCACATCGTCGTATATCTAATAAACGAAACAGACCTGTTTTACTCTTGCAAACTTTATCTGATTCTAACCATTCAGCAATAAATAAACTGAATTGTTAAACAGTGAAAAACACGCCTATATTGGTCAGGCCAAAATGGTTTTTCCAAGGAAAATGTCTGCAATACTAGACTACAAACATTCAGCTATATATTAGTGAAGATGACAAAGGCAGTGAGAACTTCTATGCGATGTAAAAAACTTGCATTTAAACTAGAATTAAGTTGGAATTTGTTACATGCACAAGCACTTAAATTTCAAAAAACATAAATTGCATATTCCATACTAGCTTTTCAATACACTGTTTACTGTCATTTGGGAAATTTGTACGACAAAAAAGCTAGTGAAGTGTTTACTTTAGTCTAGCTGGTCTGGTTTCCATTTCGTGAACATGTCAAGGTGGCCGATGTGATAGAATAATTATTTCAATTTGTTTACAGAAATAGACATAATTATATCCGGACGAATTCTCACCGGCGTAAACTGACGACTTGCATGTCCATGATAATTACGAATGAATGGAAACAAGGCTTTTGCAACAAATTATAACGAATTTCAACTCAAGTCTATGGTGGCTATGTAATATATATGTTTATAATATAACATTTATAGTACGCGCGTGCTGATTGGTCGAAGAACGTGTTTCTATAACTCGGTATAGAAACACGGGAATTTTCCCATCCAACTTAACAAGCGAAGCGATGTAATGAGAATTTGTAATTGAATCGAATTATAATATTTGTATAAAATCTTTTTATTGCGTTATATTATAAAAGAAATAGAAAAGATTTTTTTCTATGTTCCTACACAGTTACAGAAACACTTGTGGGAGTTTGGGAGAACTCGAAATAACGTGGTCCAACTCGCCCTACGGGCTCGTTTTCCCACTGATAATTTCTCGTTCTCCCAAACTCCCACGCGTGTTTCAATAACTGTATAGAAACACGGAAAATGTTTTCGGAAAGCTAATATAATGAAACTAACCCCGTCGTAACTTTCAATCTTTTCTTCAACTTTTTTCAAGTTCATCTCCCTGTTAATCGTTTCCCGCAAATTACGATACTCGGGATGGTTTTCATTTGGCAATGCTTGTCGTGGGGCTAACACTGTCACCTCAAGCGTGCTGGGTAACGTTAAAATCGACTTGAACTCAACGTTATATGGTGTTGCGATGACCGCCAGCTTCGTGACAACCTTCTTTACTTGTATCCAACCGCTTGGAAGATACGCAGACGAACTATGCGGTGCTGTAAACTGTACGGTGAATGGAGGCGAAATTTCTTTAGCACGTATTTCAGCTACGAAAACATCCTTGTAATCTTCTCTAACGATGAGTTTGTTCAACTGAGCCAATTCAAAAGTGACTTCGCAGCCTTGATTGTCAATACAGATGAGCTGCATTGTATCGATGTCAAAATGCGAGGCTTCCAGTTCTTCATCTGACCCCTCGGCTTGGACGTGCTTCTTTTTTTTAGAAAAGATTGCACACGCCTGATCCGGCGAATTGCAGTTTTCTAAACGCTTGTCAAAAAAAACATGGACTTTGTTGGGGGAGTTCAATGGGATGTATATCTCTTCCCCTGTATCGGTGACTCCCTGGTAACATTCGGTCTTTTTCAGAGCGTGAAGATTGAGCACTTGCCCTCGACTAAGAGTCGTTTCCTCACTGGATTCATACACTCCTTCGGCAATCTGTTGAATTAAATCACAGTTGAAGTTCTCAGCAAAAAACATGGCTATTTTTTAGTTGGACGAAAACACATATAGACGTTTGTCGAAATATGAACCAATATCTTGCATAAACGTTAGTGATAGATAACGATAATAAGTGCATGTACTCCTTTCTAGTCTCCAAACTTAGAATTTTTTAACTGTGTATGCTCATGGACCTCTTAATCTGTCATTATAACAGTATGCAAAAATGCACTTCTACATCTTACCTTGTTTAAGCCTATTTCATTCCGTATGTAACTTTACTCTAATGCATGTCAGGGTGTTTTCGCTTATCAAATGCAAGACTATTTTACTACTATAGGAAGTGTGGTAAGTTTACGGTAGTACGTGCATACCATGATCATGATCTATAAGATTGCTGCATGGCAATCTAATATAGCCTATCAAGTATTTTAATTTCTTTTCGCATTTTTCAATCTCATGTGTAATTATACTGTCACGATTCTCCGTGCTTCAGTTTAACTTAAGCACTGACAAATGCGAGTCAGATATAAGACGTTTTTAAGACGGGTAATATTACTAATATATATAAATAATGCGTTAAGAATATCCCACTGGCCATGCACTGACATTGTTCACTCGTATTTTCCATGCTTTAACTTTTGGAAACCCAACTAGTCTATTTTATACGTTGTATATTCTTCCATACTGCACTTGTGAATTCTGATTAATCATCACCAGTAAATGATGATGAATGTGATGTAAAGTAATCACAAGCACTATAATCCCCAATCATGGCAGTGCCTAACAACTGGCGTTAACAAAATTAAGCCATTTATACGATATGATAGAATCCAACTCGTTTTCTCTTGTGTTCTACACGGAAATCAGTCTAGATTACGCCCAAATCATAACGGGGCATGACGGGCCCTAACAACACCAAATTTTGCAGTGCTTGCTCTGACAAGCCAGTTTCAATTTCCGCAAAGCGCTAAACAAACTACGTCGCTCGATCCTATTGCATGCTCGAAGATCGTGAATATCTGAAGAACATTAATACCTCATATAGTTAGACCAAACTTTGATAACCTGAAGTCTATATTAGGGAGCTTTTGCAGTGACTACGAGCACGAATACGACTACGAAATTATGGCGTCATTTTCGCGCGTTGTTTGCTTACGCCATCAGCCAGAACTCGTAGTCGCCGAGCTTTTGAGTACGAAGTTTGTTGTTAAATTTCGTACTCGAAAGCCCAACAACTACGAGTTTCGTCAGATGGCGTAAGCGGCAAACAACGCGGGAAAAAAAGTGACGAATCTCGTACTCGTAGTCACTGCTAAAGCGTGTAGAATACGTGGTATAACAGTTGCCTTATATAGACAGAAACACTTATCGACGTTTCTATGCAGTAAAGGTCTTTGTCTGAAGAGCTAGTTATTAGTTCAAACTCTTGTTGCAGCACATTTAATGCGAAGTTGTTCGTGAAATTATTTAGCAAGCTATAGCACGAGTCCTAGCATTTGCTCAAAGCAACAAAATTGTAAAGGAAAGGCTATTAACTACTTTTATTGACATTGACTGAATGGGGATAACATTTACCTGCACAATTTGAGGTAAGTCAAACCGTTCCAAAAACGAATCCAAATCTTGTTCTTCTTTATCCCAAGCCAACTCCATAAAGTCCGTCAACTATACTGTTTAAAACAACTCCGGCGCTTCAAAATCAACAGTCTCTAGGCTTGACCACTGTCTTTGAAAATCTTCAAACTCCTCTTCCAAACGAAATAAGTGCTGCGAACTTCCGCGTATTTCATAATATTTACATTCTGGATTAAGACAACCCGCGAAGACATTGTCTCCGCAGTGCTATCATATTGCATACCAAAAATTCCATCAAAAAGCCGCTCCGTGGAGCGACCTCTGCCGTATAAAACGTAAGTCCTTACTGTATTAAGGCATCTTGGACAAAACAAATGACAAGCTTAAGGCGATCGGGGACAGTATTTTTTTCCGTAGAAATGGGCGACTCTCGATTTACGGTGTTATATAACTGACACAATAATTATTCTTGCCAAATGGCTGTCCATCGATCATTTATGATTCACTGTTTAATGCAAAAAGGAATTCTCGGAGATTTGGGTAAGAAGCAGCCTGGGCCGTCTTCATGTTTTTAACTCAAGAGGATCAAGAAGTGATTCGCTGTTATTCGCTATTATATTTATAGCGCGTTAAGTCGTTATTTCATGGACGATTTGATGTGAAATTTTTGCATAAACGAATTATCATATAACGTGAAAAAATTTAAACGAATGTGGGTTGACGTGGGAAAAAACAAACACCGCAGAAATTGGTGTTTATGAAGTTTCAACCCGAAACCCTAATCACTGGTCCACGATTGTGCATCTCTGTATCGCTATCAAAGAGAAAACTATTGAATAACTTTAAAAAGTTCAATTTTTCTTCCGCATACGCATTCTGCAATCTTTTGACAGCTCATCATACACAACTGATAGCTGTGAAATGGCCATTTTGAGGCTTAAAGTATACTCCAGGTTATCATTCAGACGATTCGTTCTTGCCGTGTGCAAGCTTTTGTGCAAGACATATTTTGTACAATTAAGGCCATCCAAACACGGAAACCATGAATTAATTGTTTTATAAAATAACAACGACAAGGCTTGAATTCAAATTTAAATTCTTTAAAACTTTAAATTTCCGTGTTTGGATCAGGCCTCGACCAATCAGAACACGCGTTATATACTTGTTATTTTATAATTATAAATCCTTCTTTTCACAACAAAGTTTAAGCGGTTTTACGAGTTTCCGCGGTGACGAAAAAACTGGGCTTCAAAAAACTCATGCCGCCAGTTTGCATTGTGGTATAATACTGGTATCAACCAATCCTTTTTAGCCACGAACGTTTTAGATTTTTACTGTGAGTTATAATGAAGCTGGTGATCTCAGAGGACTTTGTCAAGTTTGTCAAAAAATTTCAGTTCTTCGCTCAGCGATCGTTAACCGTCGTAAAACAACGGAACTAAGAACTATAGTTTTATCTGACTGGGAATTCCGAGAAATTTTAAAAATGTCTCAAATTCAATTCATTTCAAGATTCTGAAATCAATGAATTAAAACTTGGTATTTCCATAAACCAGAGTAAATAAAAAAATTCAGTTCTTCGCTCAAAACAACTATAGTTTCATCGGACTGGGAATTCCGAGAAATGTCAAAAATGTCTCAAATGTTTCAAATTCAATTCATTTCAAGATTCTGAAATGAAATGAGTTAAAACTTGGTAACTCAATAAACCAGAGTAATTATTTGATTTTATTCCTACCAGGCGCTGTTTTTTTTCCAAGCGAGAGAATGATAAATTTGTCATGTGCTGTATTTAACACACAATACCAGCGAGACCATGCAGGCAAGGTTTAAACGGCAAATGATAGCACTATAAAATCAAAGGATATTTGCATCATGAAGTCCAACACTGGCAATATTAGCGCTACGCAAATAATTGAAGGAAATAATTGAATTTTAAGAATGCTTGTTTTGAAACTCAAAAACATGCCTGGACGCGTTGAGCCCACGTCGGAGAAGTAAAATTGCGACATAATGCAAGTGATTGTCCAGTCAGTCTAGCGACAATACAGCAAGTTACGTTGTTACGATTAAACTTTAGTTGGAAACTCGGAAACAATAAAGCCGTTGGAAAAGCTTTTAAAATATGACCAATATCAAAACGTCACGGAATGTTCCGCGTTTCTAAGATCGAGATTCCGGAAAAACCTCGCCAGGTCGCCTTGCAATACTTTGCAAGACTGCTTCGACACACAGTTCGTCCCGAAACCCCAATGCACAGTTATGCTACGATGTCAACAAAGATTCCCCTACGTTCGCCTCGACTGAGCAATTCCTCAAAAGAAACCGTCATCTGAATATTCAAGAACGTGTTATTACACTCAAAAACCTGATGCCAAACAGTTCCACATATATACTCAAAAATTAAAAAAAATTTTTCAAGAATCCCATCGATTTTTAAAGTTTAAATAACTCATGTTCGCTTCGTTTTCAGTCGAAAATGCACATGGTTGGGAAAGATAATGAACTATTCGAGTAAGGAAATTGACAACTCTATCACAGAGTTGATATGGTTGTATGACTGAACTGAGCCGGATATAGCGCTATTTGCCGGATAGGGATTTTTTCAACCGTTCTAAAAATGCTTGAAGAGCAATAAAATTTAAGCTTTGGAACCAACAATTGTTAAAGAGGATCCTCAATAATAAATAAATACTAAGATTTATACGCAACAACCCAACAACGGATTCACACAAACAGCTTCTGATGCATGTTGAAACGTTTGTGTAAGGAAATGCAAAAATACTCCTGTCTAGCATTTCTGAATATTAAACTTTTAAGGCTGGGGATTTTACGCTAAAGTGTCTATTGCTAAAGTGTCTATCGCTAAAGTCTCTATTTTTAATTATACCGTAAAAAACAATACCTCACTCACCGTGAATTGTTGCGATTTTAGCCAACATTTCAAGCCATATTTTTTATAAACTTTGCTGTTTTGCAACGGCACAAAAGGCGTAGCTTTGGCGTGTTAAAATTGTCACGGCGAATTCGATATTGTTGTTGCGGTTCATAGAAAATCTAAAGGCATATATTTCTTCAAATATAGATGCCATTTTTGGCATTGAGGTGTATAGGCTCAAACATCATTCTATAGGTATAGGTAGGTTGATTAAGCAAGTAAATATAATTAAAAATCGCTCGGTTGAAAATGCCAAATTTGTCCGACTGATTTTGCGTTCACCTGCGTCGACCTTGCAGACTTTCGCTTAGCACATAGCTGCTTATTTCGTATATAAACAGAACTTTAAAACGGTTCAAGAGCTTTCCTCGCGCATAAGGAAAATCGAAAGAAACATAATCTACTTCACACCGGAACTGTAGTATAGGTAAACAATGATTCAGCGAGGATTAGGTTACAAATTTTCAAATCCAAAGGGCGTAACGTTGTGTGGTTTGAATAATTCACAATTTGACATTCCAGCGCAAGTTATGTCGACGAACGACTCAAACGAGACGAGGGATTTCGAGTTTCACAAACTAGAGTGGAGCACAACATCGTTTAAAGTCTCAGACTTTCTACGGAAATTCACACTACCGCAAGTTGTTAAAGTAATCGAAGGCTATTATGGCGACGATGAGGATTCGAGTCTTGGCGCCGATCAAATACTCTCCCTGCATTGTATCAAATCCACGGATAAAGTAGTCGGGCGAGATTATCGCGGCAAAGAAGTGAATATCCCTTTGCAATGCCAGAACAAAGTCGAAGTTCGGCCATCTAACTTGAAAGATGTTTATGAAAGCGTCGAAGAGCTCAACTCAGCATTTCCTCGTTTTGTGCGCATATCACAAGGTATTGATTAATATATTTTACATAGAAAGTTACGAGGTGCATTAAGTATGAAACATCTGCGGACTCCTTGAATGAATGTGTGTATATGTATGTAGAAAAAATTGAAATACGACATCAATTACCTACTTTACATATAGGCTCTGTCGTGGGCAGTATTAATCATAAGTGGACAGTAAAACCATTTAATTGCACAGACAATACACGTGACATGAGTTTTAGCGCGGTTTTATTTACATACAAGAGATGTGCAAATTACGATTGTCAAACGGTTGCCAAAACGCGCTCTTGATAATTTCCTGATGTATCACAAATTCATGACACAATATTTCTTACAAGTGAATTAACCAGCAGTAATAAATCTATGGCATCCAACTACCTATATCAGATATCCAGCCAAGACGACCGGAAAGCACGACAAGAAATATAACCAATGAAAGGAAATTATCAAAAAATATCACATCATAATTTTCGTTTATATAGACCTTATGCATGCATGCATAATGACTTCTCAAGCCGTGACGCCTGCAGGGAATTCTGGTTTTAGTAGTCACTGCGAAAAATTCAAACTTCAAAATTTCCCGCCGTGATTACTGAGACCAGAATTCTCTGCAGGCGCTTGACTTGATTGCAGGAATTCATGGCTTGTTATGTCGTTATGCATAAGGTCTATTAATTAAAGAAATTCGGCGATTCTTTTGCGATTTTGTAAGGATGGATTTTCTTCCTTCGATAGCTTCGACTTTCACCCCAAGCATTTTTAATTGTTCGTTCGTTTGCATCCGTGGAAAGAAGAAAATCGCGATTAAAACCGCGGATGATATATTTGCATATGAAAACCTGCCGAAGACAGGTTTTAGCCTTTGAAAATAACGGTGAAATCACGGGGAATAACTGGTTAGGAATCTTCACGTGCCTTATGTAAAACATGCGTCATCAACACTTCATTTTAATATCAAGTTTCACCTGAATTACACGATTCAATCACGTGTCTTGAAGATACCCCTGTATGACCCTCAAAGTACATCTACATATTGCTTGAAATCGTTGGTTTGGTTTAGTGTACGTAGACCAAAATATAGTGTATAACTGAATAGCGTGCTGTTTGGCGTTTTTTGTATAATCACATACGAGAATTTTCTTAACTTGTCTGCCGTTAAAAAGTGTAAAAAAATAAAAAAAATAAAAGAGATCATGCTCGATGGCTATGCTACGTCATTGGCTGTCGTTATTCTAATGTATCTGTCAATCACTCTAAGAGTTAGTTCTATTAAGGGTAAGTTATTTCAGCTCTTCTATGAGTGAGAGGTATGAACGATCAGATTCGTGTATTGTGAAGTGAACTACGAGGTTTAACTACGTCAAAAGTCGATGCGGATTTCATACAACTCTAGCAGCGCTGATGTAAAACGGTTTGGCAAAAAATTCTGTGGTACAAATAGCAAACGTTTTTGACCTATATAAGGTCAACTTTAAAACAGGAAATTAGTACACCCATCCTGCCCCTAATGCGGCTTAACTTGCAGGTCAAGAATAAGGAATGACAGAGTTTTTTATCAGTAATGTCTTCCGAGAAAAATAGTTTAGAATAGACACTTTCCGAACATGCTTTAGTGCACACAAACAATAGCTTGGAAACGAGGCAGGCGATGAAATCTATTGTTTATGGGATGCTTTTCATTGCCCGAGAACAAATTCAGGAAGTTTTTATACCACAGAGAAAATCATGTCTATTGTGAGCGCTATGTGCACTATCCCATCCCGGGCAGGTTATATCAAGTCTGGCCCTATCCAGCTACTGATCTCTCAATACACTGAATATGGCACCTATACCCCATTATCTACGAAAATCAGATGATTCAAAATTGATGAAATCTCAGAGGATAAGCAAAATGTTTGTTGTTGTTTTTTCAAGGATATTACAGCGCGACAACAGATGAAGAAATTCTGAACGTCGGCGATAAATTGCAATTGAAAAGTTTCGATAAGAAAGAAGAGAAATTGATCTGCGTCAACCAAAATGGTCAGACTATCGAATTGCCGAAAGATTGTGTGGCGGGCTTTCAACCTCTGACTGATGGAAAGGAGTACTTTCTCGCCGAGATCCCAACGCAGTTTCCGATGCCCTTGTATGTTCAGTTCGTCGATCCGCCACTCGTGGGCAAACAGAATCGTTCGGCCGATTCGTTTTTCAACTCGTCGTTAGGCGCGATCTATCTGGAAAATTCTTACACCGAAGACATTATTATCGCGTCCACTATCAGCCAAGATGGACGCCGAACTGTGGTGACCTTTCCTCGTGAGATCGACATCAGATTGGCCGTTTGCGAGGGAATGTTGCAAAACACTGTGGCCTACGCGAAGATTTGCCAGGCATTGAACCGCGGGATGGATTTAAACCACCTGATCCTCATCGACACCGTAAGCGCTTTTCGACCAAGGAATTCTGTACGTGAATATCCTTACAGAGAACTGATCGATCCATCGATGTTCGCAAATGTCCCGGAGACGGGTTTGGAAACATTTGAAGGCCTTCACACGTACTCGGAAGTTAAAAAGCCCGTAGAGAGCAATCCCGTACCGACGGACAAAGAGCTCAAACCTGATACGCATGCTCCAGACGCAAGCGACGACAAAGCGGTTGGCACCAATGGAGCGGTCGTGAGCGAAGGGCCTGAGGCGAGCAAGTCGCATGACTACGAGAATGAAGACTGGGTACAAGAGAAGGTGAGGTGCCAATCAAAAGGGAGGATGACACCCCCGATGAAGCCACAGAGATTGGTGAACAACATCAAAAAAGATGGTGAAGGTAGGTTTCTTAATGCTTGGAAAACTTGTTTTTAACTGTGGGCTTTTCCATGGGGATAAGCCGACAGAGAATTGTATTACTTTTTTTTAATACGTGAGGGCATATAAACATGGTTTTCTTCTTTTGATGGATGCGAACGAGTGAATTAGTTACGTATGTTCAAATAAGAGCTCATATACCTCAGAGCATTTGTAACTGCCCACTCGTTCACATCTATCAAAAGAAGGAATCTGAAAATCGCAGCAAAAATCTCATGTATAAACAGCTGTTTAATCATCTTTTTTAAAACAATCAGAAATCAAGACCGACAGCAGCAGTCTTTCCTCTCAGAGCGACGATAGCGAAATTGCGAAAATCGAGGTGTCCGGAGTGGACAGCGGTACTGCTTCAAAACGTGTCGACATCTCGCAGCACTCTGTGAAACAAGTGTGCGAGATTTTGAAAGAATTGGGTATGGACAGATATATTGTTAAGTTTGAGTCAGAGAAGATTGACGGTGAGATGCTGATGTGTCTGGACAATGACATTCTGATGGCTGATTTTGGAATGAACAAGTTGCACTGCATGAAACTGAAGAAATATCTGGAAGGATGGAGACCCAGGGTTTAGTGAACAATGGCAAAATAGATCATGTTTTTGTCGCAGAGAATAGATTTAGGTGAAGTGAAAATTAATTTATAGAAACAGTTGAACCCTTTGAGGGTACATCAAATATTGATTATAGGACCTTATCTCTGGCCATAGCCAGGCCACAGCCAGGGTAGAGTTAACACATAATGAATGCCCAGGTCAAAACTGTACTTTTTACACTATGTATGACCCTCGTCTGGGTGCTTAAGTGCGTTCAAATTATAAAAAACTATGCTGAAGCCTGGCCTATGCTGGGCACAGACTTTTGTGGTATATTAAACATGTCTTCAAAGGCCACCTTCTCAATGTGGCCAACTCTATGATAAAGTTATAAAAGTCTCATTACATGAATACCTAACTGATTTAATAATACAATGGATTGAGCAACTATTGTCGAAACCAAAATTAATGAATTGGAATGCCCATTGATGTATTTATGCAACGGGTAACTTGTCTTTTAATGGTTAGAGTTTCAGTTTGCATCAGGTTCTATCTGTTTCATCTTAGGGGCAACCCTCTAATATGGCTACCTCTCCAATAGGGTGACCTCTCTAATAGGGACATCCCCCCAATATGGACACCTCTCAAAAATAGCAACATTTCCCCAATGGGGACAACTCCCTAATAGAGTAATCTCCCCAATGGAGACACCTCTTAAATAGGAACATCTCCCAATAGGAACATCTCCCCAAGAGGGTAACTGCCCCAATTGGGACATCTCCCCAATATGGACACCTCTCAAATAGGGATATCTTCCCAAAAGGGACACCTCTTCAATACAAGCGACACCTCTGAAATAGGGACACCTCCCTAATAGGGACATCTCCCCAATATGGACACCTCTCAAATAGGGATATCTCCCCAAAGGGGACACCTCTTCAATACAGGCAACACCTCCCTAATAGGGACACCTCCCTAATAGGGACATCTCCCCAATACGGACACCTCTTAAATAGGGACATCTCCCCTGTGGGGACACCTCTCCAATACAGACACCTCTCAAATAGAGACATCCCCCCAATACCGACACCTCTCAAATAGGGACATCTCCCCAATGGGGACACATCTCAAGTACAGGCGACACCTCTTCAATACAGTCGTCACCTCTCAAATAACATGAACCGCAAATTTCAAAATTGCATGTTTCAATTTTTCTGCACAAATGCAGAATATAAAAACTTCACAAGATGTTTATTGGAAATTTTGGTGCCAATAAATGGTCACAAGGGGCCATTCATCTGGCCAAAGGTGCAGTGCAAGGGTGAAAATTGCAACCCTGACCCACTCAATAAAAGCTAATGGTCGAAGAAACATTTATTACAAGCTGAATACTTTATAAAAGATCAAAATTATGTTTTCTCATGACTTAATATTTCATTGTAAAAAGGCAGAGAAAAATTTGATCAATTGTCGAGATGAACCATTTTCAAAGGTCCAAAATGAATGTGAATACATTTTAAAATCTAAATATTTCGAATGAAATGTGCATCTTCCCTTGAATTTTTGGCACCCCCTTGAGGAAAATACGAAAACCGTTCCATGCTTTGCACAAATCAACAGCCCGTCTCTACTTTTAAGTGTATTATAACTCAGGCTATTTGATAAGAAAGTGCAAACAAGTTTAAAACTGTAAATTTACCTTTGGAGCAGCGATGAACATATTTGAATCTCGTACAAGCATTTCTTTTCGAACAATCTCACGGGCGACATTGTTTTGTAACATCCAGGACATTCTAAGGTCGGAAAATAAACACGATTTTAGTCTGTTATTTGTTAAATAAGCGACGTGAAACTTCAAGTAGTTGAAGTTTAAAACTCACCTAAGCTATTGCATCGGTTGATTCAAACCCAGTTGGCCAATTCGCGGAAGAAATTCAACTTTTCAATCACAAAAATTCTCAGTTCCATAACTTTGCAACAAGCCATCTTCTGCTTCCACGAGTTTGCGGTGTCAAAGGTGAGATAGATCACGTGTCAGTCAGGATCATCTGTGATTGGTTGAACATAATGCGCGAAACATGCAAATTAGCAGACAGCATAGTCATCTCTTTAATTTAATAATAGGTTTACCCGTTGTTTTTTAGAAAAAATCTGTCAACAAACGATATTTTGATGATTGGATATGATAAACCGTTTATTGTGTGGTTTTTGAGTTTCCGTGTTTGAATAAAAGATATCCTGTACGAGAATTTATGGTTCGGTTTTACATTATCAAACCGTAGGTATTCTTTTGGGGAATTAAAACCATGATACACCTGCGCTATTCAACCCTGATAAAACTTATAACTTTTCAAGAATCTACCTAAACATAATTTCAACCGTGATCACAAAACGTAAACAAGACTATGTGTAGATAACCACATAATTTAGCTGTTTGTAACTGCAAAAGGTTCGTAAAACAATCTCATTTTATATATCTTATATCTTATCGTAAAAGCATGATCTAATTTGAATGTGGTTTGAGGTCAGGGATGCATTTTCTCACCATGAAACGGAAATCAATAATTTAAAGTTCAAATGATATATTTCCACTCTTTGATGGGGAGTCGGTTGTTCGAAAGACGTTTTAGTTTAAAATTACTCGCATACATCTTGTGAATGACTGAACCTGGATTTTATTCATTAAATATGTATTTTCATCGAAAATTAAGCTATATACTGTTAGAAACACGAGTTTACTTTGTTTTAGGTGCATCTGTTAGGGCAGCTTTCATTTTATAGTAAATGTCGTGAACTAGTCAATGGGTTGATGTAAGTCAGCAATGATTAATAATTTACATAGAGAAAATTAAGACAAATCGTTTACAAATTATTTTTTTACATCGGTTAAAATAACTTGTTCACGGTATTCAACTGATGAGACAAGCCAGCCCTAACTTTATTTACCAATTGTACAGATTATAATTTTTATTCCACGCTAGTGAAGCTGTTTGGGTGGATATTTTTCCTCAAGCTACATCCTAATCTTAGATTCGATAACTCTTGAGCTCGCGATTGTTTTGACGTGTTTCACGGGCGAAATACGTCAATGACATGGGTGGTTTTCAATGGATTAAGAGGCGGAACGCCGGAACGATGCAGAGTGGAGGGATGGGAAGATTTTTGTAAAAGCGAACTCTAGGAATAAAGCATAAGTACGTTGCAAAATAACGAAGTGAACTTTTCAGTTTTTCTCGATATTTGATGGTTGATTGTCAAAGTCAGGTCTGGATGGTTGAGTGTCTGGATGGTTCTTCACCATGCACCAGCTTTTGAAGTTCGTACGTTTCTCTCAGTTACAGAAGTAACTTTATACGCGATATCGACCCAAAGATTGCTGAGAATATTCTACATTGCAAGACAATTTTCAAAACGTAAGCCAATCGTTTCCCCATGCATCCTCTTCCTCCTGGTTAAATACAAAGATGGGGTTGCGCCATGCTACAGTTCAACTCTCCATTCGGCAAATTTGCAAACAAAGCAAAAAAAAAGTAAAATAATGTAAACACCAGAACTGGGGAGTGAGTCTCATGTGATTTACCAAATTCTAGAAAGTTCAATTTCTCGCCGATTGACTCGTTAATCTCGCGACCTTATCAACGACCTTATCCTATTGTTCAACTAATGCTGATATAAGCGACGTGATAAAACAGCACCCGTCGGCCCCGTCTTCTACCTGGATAAGCGGCAAAACCAGATGGAGCACCCACTATAGGATTATCCCTGCATGAATTTATTCCCTAAACCGATATTTTTATGACCAAATCAATTTGGAAGGATATAGTGGCAGACACAGTCTGGACACTCTGAGTTGAAACGTGCTTCCATGGCCATGGTTGATTGGTCGCATATGTTTGGCAATTCAAATTGGAAACAATACAATTTGTCGTAGTTAAATTGAACCGTTTATCTATAAATGCGACGAGTTTTGAAAGCCGGCACCGCATCGGCTGCATCCAGTGCAGTTTAGTGCAGACATGTAGTAGTATCCACAAGGACTGTATTATTTTAAGAATAATCTGTTGATCTTAGCAACATTTCTGCAATCAATTGTAACAATATCCGTGCGCGGTCAGGTGATCTCGTGACTTGCGTCAACAACGCGGAAAATCATTGAAAAAATCTGGCCCTTGATGCATTTGCGTAATAGCACCGCCTAGTCACGGATATGTTTGTCGCTTGGGTCCTTCGTACGTAGAATCAAGCCCCCTGGCAGTTTTTTTTCTGTTCAAAGAAATGCAGGTAGATCTTGAATCAAATCTGTTGTTTTGCCCAGCTGACCTCTGCAAAACTTATCAGCGTATTAGTTTTGTCAAAATAAGACAATGTAAATAATTAAGAAAAGCTGGTAGATTTCATTTCAGCGTATCTCGTGATGAAATCAATCATTTTGTTCACCGAATATCATCGGGCATTGAGTTCATATATAGACGATTCGCCGTTTCCTGAACGCCATTAGATGAACGCCCTGAAAGTTGAAAGATATTTGCAAGAACACTTTGAAAAGATTCACCTCCAACGCTTTCATAAGACAAATATGAAAGATATTTTAGGTCACGAAGCTATGAAGAATTTCGTATATTTTAAGAATCGCAGAGGCGTATAATTTTAGGTCTCTCCCCATTATTTCATCCGAAAAAAAATTCAGACATTGCGTATCAACTGTCTGCATATCTATTGAATAAAGAGCTATAGATCGCACTTGAACAGTTTCGGCCTTAAAAATTCATGATTAACTGTATATATAAAATCTAAGATCTATAAATATTGATTTTCAACCATATATAGAGCCTTGAAACACATCTAAAGCTCTAAGTATAAAGCCAAAGTAAAAATTCTTTTTCGGGATAGTATAGGTTATAACATGCACGCAATCGATATTTCTCAACCAGATAAATATCATAGCCAAATCTCATTGTTTATTGTCTCGATGTAAACCGAAACGTTGGCTACTCTCTTGTAAAATGTCAATGTTTGCAATAGAAACATTTAGACGACTCGTGTGCAAAAAAAAACACTGACCATTGCACTTTAATCGTCGCTATTGGCAACGATTGTTCTCAGATTATAATTTGCCCATGGCAAAGTAGCAAGTCCAACGTACTCGCTTGTTAAGTAAAAACTTGTAATTGTAACTCAATCATTGAAGTTTCAATTCGATGTTTAAATTAATTCGGTCAAATATGTCCATAGTCCAGTACAAATGACCACAATGAAAACACAAGTTTCTTTAGTATAGTTTTTGTGAAATGACGAGACTAATTTAAATCTGGACGCAGATAATAGGGATAGAAAAAAAAACAAAACCAAAGGACACATAACACAGTACGATCTAACCCAATTGACACAACGATGTTCGGGATAAAACCTAACTCTACTGGTGTAAACGAAACTGCAGTGAATATTATGTGGTGTATATTTGCGTAATATCTTGGATAAA